ATGCGCGCACTTTATTTAACGTGTTTTGGACTGTTAAAGAGAAACACCCACCCACGGCAATGGTAACATTTGGAATAGCCAGGACAATTTTTTATATAACTCCGACTGGATTCGTCTGAAAGAAGAAAGTCATATACACCTAGGATGACTCGAGGGTTAGTAAAACACAGGCTAATTTTCATTTTTGGGTGAACTAACCCTTTAACTGTACTAAACAGACCAAGAGTACTCTTTTTGTGATAATTGCATTTTTAATGAACCACACTGTTGTATAGTTATGTGTAGTTTTATTTTAGGCACATTTTATTTGTGCTTGTAGGTCTGACCCAAATTCTCCTCAAATGCGTAATGCATTGTTATATTATTCGCTTTTAGAGTGTGTATGGATCCACACTTCGAACTTCCAATGGAAATAGTAGACCAATCTGGATACCTTTGGGATATTTACTTCAACATACTACAAGTTGGGACTCACTAACTCTAATTTTGAATATTGTTTAGGATAAATAGTATAGGAATTTGGAGGCAGTTCACTGGGTCAAAAGACCGTCTACCATCTAGTCATTCCTAAAAAAACTGATGTAAGGAAAACAGTCCAGAGACATACAGCATAATAAGATAATGGGCTATCATGGTCATTACGTGAAAGAAGTCACCCTGCATTACGAACCTCTGGATAAGCGTATCAAAGAAAAACAGTGAGGATGAGACAAAAGCAGACAAATTGAAAGGACCTTTCTGGAGACCTTAAGACACTGAGCCTGTGATTAAGATCGATGCTTCAGTCTTAATGTGCCTGATGACACAGTGAAGTACTCTTCATGGGTGGCCTTCTCTCTCAATCTCCCACGAGGCTCAGTAGTAAAGGACGCAATATAAATAGAGACGATTAACAGTCTCACTGTGAAATTGAGAGACCGAAAGCAATAGAGAGACAGTGGACATACCGCGCATAGAGGAGAACAGCGCCAGCCGACAGCTGGGGGTCATCAAAGCTCAAAGACATGACGTGCCAAACAGTTTTGTAACCTTCTGGAACCACCAGCCTCTAAAGGCAAAGAATTCCTGCTTTTATTGACCATTTAATTACACATTCTTTATCCTGTCATGATTTGGTTTATTTGTACTCAGCCAGGAAAGCAACAGGAAGTTGACAGTAAGTCTGCATGCAGCCATCGATGTAGATGCTTGTGGTAAACAGACTGATTCATAGTGAATCTGCAGAATTAACCTTCTATGCATTTGAACGGTAAGTGGCCTGCTTAACAAATTAATGTGACTCACAGCATTGAAATGCTTCGTTTGGGTCATGATGACCACCACATCCTGAATACTGAATTAAGTTAATTACACAAAATGCCACATTGCCGGTACTAGGATGCCGCTCTCAATAGAGGTGGAATGTCGGGATGTGATGAACTGGTTCTCATCATGATTACATCATCATTTCCACAGGTAAAAAAAAAAAACTAATACATTCCAGGGCCTCAATTTCAGCACAGGATTGCGATTATTGCAAATAATTTTCCCGCTTATAATGCGGGGAAATCCCACAAACATTTATTCACTATGAAGGTTGAATGAGTAAATTAATCAACACAGATGAACAGATCAATCAGTAATTTAAAATCTTTCTGCCACACTGTAATTTCACAAACAGTATGCGTGTTTCTCTTAACATACTGCACTAAATGGAGTCACATCACTACATGGATATGGAGGAATTCCCCCCATTTTCCAAAATGACATTCAGGCCCTGAATTCTCTAGAGTGTTTTGGTGACACTTGGAACTGGCTGATAATTAAACTCTCAAAAAAAGGCAAATGTCATTCAGTGGTCTCTACAAGAGTGATGGTTCCCATCTGACCTGCTTTCTGGGGAAGAAGAGCCTGTTGTGACATTCTAAATGATTCAAAGCTGTAGAGCCAATTTCCTTGAGCATTCACCGCTTTTTTGAAGGCATCCCTGAATTTTTCTCCTTAAAAACAACAGCAGCATTGCATTTGTCTACAGTGGAATGAACTTGAACTGAGTAGCTTGACTAATGCACATCGTGAAGGTGCTCGGAATCTTACCATCATCTATTGAAAAAACTTTTAGGCACAGTAAGCATGAATGTGGCAAAATTTATTGACATGACACATAAAAACTAATGAAGTGCAAAGCACTGAGGAGAAATATAGATGGAGGCAGCAATATATGTACTGTAAGTATGATGCCAAGAGCCAAAGGACAACAGAGATACAACTCTGAAATTACCTTAAGTGGGATTTAAACCTACAACCTTCGGGATACTAGACCAAACCTGTGCCACATCACTGCACTGCATTGGACAAACACTGTAACAGTAGTGGCAACAAAAAAGATCCAATACGAATATGCTGAAATTACAACTTTCCTCCAAACAGATCTAGGTGCTGCCATAGACTCCCAGCCAGAGGAAGCAGAACAATATGCCAATTTAAACAAAAGGGCTACACACCTTCTACACTTGGCTCCTAATAAAATCCAAAAAAGTGCTTTTGGATAACAGTAGGGTCGCACAGCTGTGCTCATTAAAATCTATGTGTGCTATCAGAATGACAGTTGATATGATGATATACTCATAACAATCCAACATCCTGTAAGACCTGGTAAGCAGGATGCAGTGTAATTAATGACTGTTACACTTCATGCTCTGTGACTGCAGAAGTAAATGACTGGCAAACACCATATAAATATAGCCAAACATGGCAATAAAAACAGTCCATGCAGTTGGAATAAGACTGCAAATTGGCAAACTGGCAGAAAGGATGCTGTTGATCCAGTTGGTGTCCAACAGTTTATCTCAAAAGATGCTGAGAAGTTTGAAGCCGGTTATACTGACCTGTAGTGAGGTCTGCAAGAAATACACATGGCTGATAAAATTTAATAGGCCTCCAGCAATCGTTCTTGTTCATCTGTCCAACTGATACTGCAGTATATTAGCACTTTTAGCAAAGAAAAAGCGTGTCAAATTTTAACTTCCTTACTCCAACGGTTTTTACAAGATTCCCCTTGTTACAGCATCCATCTATGGGTGAAACTCGGCATGCATTCTCCTAACAACCTGGTGTCCATGTGTAACTTATTTGGACATTCAGAAGATGTAGGTCCATTAGTCAATATAGGCCTTTTGGCAAAAATGTATTGGCTTGTTTCTGCAGAACAATCAATGGACTTGAATAACCTATATTCCATTCAGAGACTATATTCTGGTATTTATCCCGAAAATGGATACATCAGAAACAGGCATCAGCGTGCCTTTAACAGCCCACATTAGTTTACCAGATTATAGAGCAAAGCCTTTGCGATTAAGCAGCCATTAAGCAGCCTGGAGTTGTGATACTACCTGCTTGGCCAAAACTTGACACTTATTGCCAATCTTGCCCTAATACAGTAGACTATCTCAGTCAAAGGCACTGGTGCACTGGTTCCTTGCACTCCAGGACTTCCACTTTGTGCTGAAAGGAATGTGGATGCACAATGTTTTTCCTCTCACAATGTGGGACAACTTAAAATCTTCTACAGGAGCTGTGCCTCTAGTCTCATTATCACTGGAAGGGACTGAAGGCTGATTTATACTCAATGCATTCGCAAGTTTGCTCATTTCGCGTGGCGGTGTGCACGACATTTTTTGTAACTTTCCACGCAGTTCTGCTTCCGAAGATGCACGAGTTCAAAGCGACTCTAGCTGAACATGCACATCTGTGCCGGCATTTGTGTGAAACAGAAGCAGTTTGATGTTAAGTTCAAACTCCACCAGGTGCAACTTTTAATGCTTTGAGGGAAAACAATGCAAAGTTTTTTTTTTGCATAGTTTGTCCAATGCTTTTTAATTGAAGTACGTTTATTTTTTATTGTATAAAAATAGAAATAGAATTAATTTAGATACTATTTATACACTATTTGCTTAAAGTTGTCCTGTGTTTGATGCGAAATAAACACAAAAGCTTAAGATTATTTTAATCAGTTTGTACATAAAGAAATTATTAATTCATCAACTC